GGGGGGGGGGGGGGGGGAGAGAAGATTCCCATACCAAACTGGACATTAGCACAGCCCTCCTGAACCTGGTCCCTTTCAGATGTGTCAGATGTCAACTTCCAGAATTCTAAGGAAGTTTGTTGAATGCCTGTTTCCTGGTAGGGAATTCTGGGAACTGCAGTCGCAGCACATCTGCAGGGCACCCAGCTGGGAGAAGGTGGCTTTAGCATTCAGACTGCAACCTGAAATATAAAAGTTTGAGCAAATTGTGGAAAAATGTTGATGTGAGTGTGTGAGTATGCTTGGAGCGTATGCATGGAAGGCAAATGGTTCACTGTAAGAAAACACCTATTTTTGGAGTCACCATGATGTCACTTACCCTTCCAAGGTGGTGCTGGTTAGAAGAAGTGGGCTCGCCCTCTTCTGAGCCGGAGCCCTCCTCCTCGTTGGATTCTTCCCCGTGTTTCTCCTTGCTGGTGCTTCTCCTTCTGAGCTTTTCTGTTCTTCTCTTCTGCTGGCTTTGGCTTTTTTTCTTTCCCCCAAACTCACTTCCAGAATCCTCAGAATCAAGCACTGATTCTTCTTCACCACCGCTCTTTCTCTGTGACTTTTGGGCCCCTCTGTTCTTCAACTTATCCTCCTCTTGGCTTGAGTTGCTCCCAGAGGTTCGCTTGTCCCTCTTTTTCAGCATCCTGTTTTTCCTTTGATCCCCATCCTTGCTTTCATCTGACTCACTTTCTGATGGGTGACTTCTTAGAGCCACCTTTCTAGGCTGGCCTTGGTTTTTCTCAGTCTCCTCACTTTGTGATTCCCCATTACTGCTAGTGGAATCCTGCACCCCCTTCTTCTTCTTCTCTTTCAAGCTCTTATGCTCATCTGCCTCACTTTCTGACTCTTCACTGGTGCTTCTCCTGGACTCCTGAATCCTTTGCGCCAGCTTCTTCTTGCTCAAGTCCTCCCTCTGCATCTTCTTCCTCCCTCTCTCTTTAGGTTGCCTTTTGGGCTTGGAATAATTTCTGGCCTGTCGGCTCCATCTTGCTCCACTTGCCCTCCTTCCTCCCTCTTTCCTCATTGGACTTTGACCTGCAGAGTCCTCCGAACTGCTACTCAAATCCTCAATACTCCTACTCTTCCTTCTGCATCGACTGTTTGCCATTTTCTTCTGCAGACTACATTTTTTATCAGAATCGCTCCCTGATGCATCCTCACTCTCGTTCCCCTTCGAGCCCTTCTGAGTTCCTTGCCCTACCCTGCCCTGTGCTTTATCACTGAGTGACTTCTCCTCTTCACTCTCACTCCACTCTATTCTCTTCTTTTCCAAGATTTTCTCCATCTCAGACAGATCATTTCCCCCTTCTGATTTGTTTTTTCCTCCTCTTTGCTCATTCATTTTCCTGTTTTTTTCTTTTCCTTTGGGATCAGTGACCTTCAGTTCTTTGTCCACCTTTTCCCTAAGTTTCAAGTCTTTTTGCTGCAAACTGTTCCCTTTTGTGACCTTCCTGTGTTCTTCAACCTCTTCTTCAAGGTCACTCTGTCCCGTGTCAGTGGCCTCCTCAGACTCACTCCCCGCCTTCTCCTGGAGGCCCCTGTTCCACTGCCTCTTGGCTGATTTGCTGCCTCTTTGTCTCTCCCTTCTTGCCTCCTGAAGTGGTTCTTTTCCTTTGCTCTTTGTACTTTCCTCATCACTTCCAGACTCAGCAGTGTGATCTTCAGCTCCGGAGTCTCCTTGGTCAGAAGAATCCAAGAACTTCCTTAGAAGTTTTGGACCACCATGGAGTGGCTGCTTCTTGGAATCAATCCCAGAATCCTTTTCATCAGAACTGACTTCTGGAAGACAAAACAAAAAGGGAGAAACACAATCACATTGGGGAAAGGCAACTGTTACTCTAAAGTAGGAGAGCCCAATCAGAAGTCCTGAGTCTCCAAGAGATCCCAAAGCCTTGGATGCAGCACCTGGAGATCCTCCAAAATTGCCACTTTAATGTGGATATTTAGGACTTGGGGAATAACTTACTTTTTGCCTCAATTCCCCTCTCCCCTTTTTATCCTAGCTCTGCCTACTTCTGGAGTTCAGTCTCTGGAATTCCAGTCAAAGGCTGAAAAAGGTTACACATCCCTATGTATCTGTCTGGTTACTTGTGGCAAATAATCCAGTTGTTGGTAGGCAGGCAAAGGTCTCCAACTCTGGAAGACCAGATCCAAGTAAAATATGTGGCCTGCATAGCATTGCTTTCTAACAGCCTATCATTAGGATTGGTCACTTATTTGCCTATCTATCTATCTATCTATCTATCTATCTATCTATCTATCTATCTATCTATCTATCTATCTATCTATCTTTCTAAATTTTTCAACC